TCTATCCCTGTGGAAAAAAGTGTACCCATCTATTCCTACTTCAGGTAAGAAATGTTTGCCTGCAATATCTAACCAAGTTTCTGTAATACCTATAATATCTAACTCTTCAACACATGCGATACCTTTAAGTGTGTCTATCTTATTTATTACACTTCTACTGTTTGTATAAAAGACACTTAGTTCATGCACCTCCCTCTCTTTACCCCGTCCATTGTCACTATTACCCTTACCTCTATTAATATTTAGTTTCCCTGACTGGACTGCCTAACTGCCCTCTCAAGACACTCACTAAATTCCTTAACCCCCTTCCTACTGAAGTGTACTCCATCCCTGGCATACAGCTCCTGTCTCCCATAGAACCTGCTCCACTCATCCATAAAACCTACCCCATCCTCCCCACACATCCTCATCAACCTCTCGTTGAGGCCAAGGGCATGTGAGAGCCATCAGCCTCTAACCCCCTGTAAAGGGAGCACCCCTGAGACTATACACCTCCTACCACTCTCCCTTATCTCCCTCAGAAGCTCCCTATACCTATCCACTAGCTCCTCTGACCTTACCCTGCCTACATCGTTCACGCCCACGTGAACCACCACTAACGCCTCTTTCCCTGTCCCCTCCACAACCTTCTTGTATCTCTCTACCACGTCCTGTACTCCGGCCCCAGGAAGACAACACGTCATCCTCCTTGCCCTGTCGGCCTCACAGAAGGTCTCGTCTAAATACCTAATCCTGGAGTCACCCAGAACTAACACTTCCTGAGACACTTCTAACCCTTCCCTGTCCTTCCTCGCCTTCCCATCCTCCTTCCTCTCCTTCCCATCTAGCTTCCTCTTCACTATCTTCGCCTTGGGTGTCCTATCCCCTTCACCTGCTCCTACTTCTATCACCACCTCTTCCTCTTCCTGTGTAGCTAACAAGCCAAACTTGTTGCTACACCCTACCTGACCCAGGGGAGGAAATTCCACCTCACACAAGGGAGGGTTCACGCTCCCCTTCCCTCCCCTACCCACAATCCTCCAACTATTCCCCCCTTGTCTCTGACCTGAGTCACCTGACCTGACCTGACCTGAATCTCGTGACCTGACGCTAGCTTCCTGCCTTAGCTCTAATAACTGTTGTCTCGTCTGTGCCAACAATACTTTCACCTCCTTAACCTCTTCCTCTAAGGCTACATTTCTAGCTAACACTTCACACAATTTACATCCACTTACCTTACATTGTCTCTCCATTCCACAAGAACCACACCTCACCACTCCCCCCTCCAACACCATTCCACCCTCCATACCTGTAACCTCCTCGCCTATATTGAGTACTACGCACTCAGCCATCTAAATACTTTTTCACAAAAATGTACACAAAACACAATAAAATACTTATCGTAAAAATATAGCCTGGTATCCCTTGTGTTGACACACAAAAACACAATAAAATATCTGTAATGGATAATACAACCTGGTATCCCTTGTAGCACGAGCGAGTAGCAGCACGTCCTCCTCTGAGCATCCTTCCTTTCCAGTGTGAAACACCTTTCTCTCACTTCCAATACCTCACCTACACCTCCTATGTCTTCCCAAAACTCTTTAATTGACTCCCTGATTTCATTCTGATCTGTAATACATTCACCATTCACTTTCAAGCTTTCGACATTTTCACAGTCTGACATACCTTCTCCTCTCATAAACCTATACCAATCACGCCCTCCTTCCATTCCCTTCTCCCTCAAGGCTTGAATAGCATTCCTTTCACACTGCACTTTCGCATCTCTTATCTTTCGCTTCGTCAATCGTTGCTGCTTCATATGCACTATCCATACACTCTGGTATTCTCCCTCAGCCTCCTCACTATCATGCCTCCGTTTCTTTAACAGCCTACACTGTTTGTTTAATTAACCTCTTACGCTCCCTTCTCGTATCCCTAATATCATCATTCCACCACGGCTTGTTCATTCTCTTTCTTCCAGTCATTCTTACAAACCCTATCTTACTGGCCCCACCACTTCTCATATTTTCAGTCAATCTCTCATTCAGTTCATCTACACTCTCTGATCTCCCAGTGCCCCATATTTTTTCACTCAAACATAC